CATTAAAATTAATAAAATTTAATAATTAAAAAAATAAATGAGTATGTATTTGAAAAAAAAAAAAAAAGAGAAGCTTCTGTTCCAGAATTCCTAAAAATGCAGGATAAATGCCAGCGATGCAGCTCAAGGCTGGGCAGGAGTCATCTTTGACTTTCCAAAGTGAATGGTGATTGTTAATAAACTCTAATGATTAGTACACCAGACATTGTCTCAGGTTCTTTTTTAAAATCTGCTTGCTTAATATTCATCATAACACCAGGAGGTAGGTGCTGCTATTATTTTATAGACAGAGGCTTAGAAAGAAGGGGCTTGTTCAAATGTCACTTAGTGGCAGAGTGGAGATTCAAACCTAGGCAGCCTGGCTCCAAAGCCCACACTCCCAGCCATGACCCTGCTCCTGGCACACTCAAACCAAAGGGATGTGCTGACCTGTGTTAAAGGGACTCTGCACGCACAACCTCCAGAGCCTCACGTGGAGCAGATGAATGTGAACCATCAGCCCCCACACCCCACCTCTCAAACTTCTGGACAGTCTGACTGTTGTCATCCCTGCTGTTATCTTACCAGGTTCTGGCACAGAGCCTTGGTCACCCTCTGGGTTTCCTTACACCGAAGGCTGCTGCCCCGTAGTGAGGGGAAGGCCAGGCTGAGGCAGATGGCACAAAGGAGATGGACCAGCTGCACCCAGCTCTCCCCATGGTGAAGGAAGTCCTGGAGCAGATGAGATGTGCTCCCCCACCCCACCTCCTCATGCCACCCACTCCCCTTGACCTGCCATCTGGCTTCCTTATAGAGTGCTCCCTCACAAATCCTTATTTCAGGAATCTGGGTGTTCTCCAATGCACATGCGGACGTGAGCACCTGTAAGGTGAGGAGGCCTCCTGAGAGGACCAGCTCTAAGCTCCCTCCTGTCCTTCCAGGACCTGGTGAGAGAGAGGGCTGTGAGGTTTTGTGGGGGGTTGTTACAGAGTTACTGGTAGTGCAAATCATTCGGTGGACTGCTGACGGAAAGGATGGGGGGTTTGAATTGAATGCAAATGTCCTCAAAGGAAAGGCTTTCTTACGGAATAAAACAAACAAACAAAAAACCAAAAACAAAACAAAAACCCAAACAAAAAACCAGCCACTGGACACCTCATGGAGCATGAACTGTGCCAACACCCATGGAGTCACCACCAGCTCGAAGTGACTCCTCATCAACTGGAGGGGGCTGGTTGGTTTTAATTTTATTGTGATAAAACATACAACATAGACTCTACTGTGGTAGTCAACCTCATCTGTCCAGTTCAGTGACATTCATAGCTTTTACCATGCCATGCAACCAAATGTCAGCACCCCAAACAGGAATTTAGTTCCCCTGAACCAATAACTTTCCCTTTCCTCTTATAACTCCTGGAATAAAAACTAATAAAAAGTTCATTAGTTATTAGTAACAAACTTTCAAAAAGTTTTTAAAACATATGAAACACAATGTAAATGAAGAATATGTGAAACACAATGTATATGAATAAAACACAATAGATGTGAATTTTGTATGCAAACCAAAAGACAATAAAAAAACAATTTTAAAATGTTTTTAGAACTATTTAGAGTTTATTAGTTACTAGTGTTTCGTTTTGGCCTCTCTACCTCTGATGTTGTGGACATTTATATGAGTGGAATCATATAATGTGTGGCCTTTTGTGACCGGTGTCTTTTACTCAGCCTGGGTTCAAGGTTCATCCACCCTTGCTGTGTGGCACACATCAGGTCTTCATTTCTCCTTAGCTTTCCATTGTATGGGCATGTCATGCTTCACTTATTCATTCATCTGTTCGTGGACATTGGAAAGTTTTGTTGCTAACACAAAGCCTGGTCCCTTTCTGGCTATTTGAATCCACCAGCAGCGCCAAGGTAGAAAGATGGACAGTCTTCTTCTGTGAGAGTTACAGCCTCAGAAACCCACTGGAGGGTCAGCTGTGAGTCAGTTCTGACTCCACAGCAATGAGTATTTTGAGCTTGGGTTTTGGTGACTATTGAGAGAAATGCTATTATGGACATTGGTGTACGTAGATCTATCTGAGTCCCAGCAGCAAGGAGCTGGGAGCTCTGGTGGGCTAGTGGTAAATAAGCTGCATTGCCATCCAAAAATTCACATGATTATTTTTTTAAAATTTTTCCTACTAGCTTATTTACAAAATTAAAATAAAAATTTGAATAAATTCTTTCCATTTCCCTCAGCCCCCATCAAATTGTACAATGCAATGATTAATCTCCTCTTCCCCCTGCACATTCATATTCCTCTGCTTCCAGCCTCTCTCACCTCTCCTGGATCCTTATACTCATCCTACAATAACAGTTTCATACAATATTTATCCTTGTGGGATGAGTTAACTCAGCATAATGCTCTCCAGTCCCTCCCAAGTTAGGTAATAATTTACAAAGTTATTACTCCTGTGTGCTGCGTAGTATTCCATTGTGTGAATGTACCCTAATTTCTCAATCCATTCATTTGTGGAAAAATGCTCACGATTCTAATCCACCAGCTGCTCTACAAGATAAAGGTGGACACTCTCCTTCTATGCAATTTATTGCCTCTGAAAACCTGCTGGCTGGCGGGTCAGCTTTGAGTTGGTTTTGACTGAGCCTAAAGAAGGTTTGGCTGGATATCTGGGAGGGGCATCCCCGCCTTGTGTTTTCCACTGAACAAGGGCCCTTGGTCTTGGTTCTGGAAGCAAGTCTTGTGGGGACTGTATGGGGCATGTTCCCCATTCAGTTTAATGTTGAGAAATTGCAGAGGAGAACTATTTACGGGGACTGTGAGTGAAGGAGCCCAGGCAGAACTGCTGCAGGCCAACGGCAAGATGAAGCGCAGAGGAGCTCCGTGCTGTGCAGAGGTGAAGGGTCAGCTCACACCATCCCACACTGCTGCACAATTCAGGGCTAGTCTCAAAGCTGGCCAGGTGAGCTCTTGGCACAATCACCCTTGCCCTTGTCCAAATGCTGGTGGTGGAGTGATGATACTTTAGGAGTTCAGGGCAAAGGACTTTATGTAGGAGTGAGCGAGGGCAGGAAAATGATAGCAGAAAGTTTCCAGTGAGGTCTGAAATGACTCAGCCATTGAGCATGTGTCAGAGACCATCTGAAGAGCCTGGGTCTGACATAACTGGGGGAAACATCCCCATGAGCTGGTAGAAGGTAGGGCAGTGAAATGTCAATTAACATCACTTTATTTCTTCTTTCCTGCTGTTGAAGCTTTATCAGTGGTGTTATATGCTGGAAATAACCTCACAAATTGTGCGCATATATTATGCGAGCTTTATTCTCCCAACTTTTTTTTTTCCTCCCAACTTGTGGCAAGAGAGTTACCATGTTTTATCACTAGATGGTGCTCATCCTACTGGCAGGGAAATTGTATGTGCCGCCAACCATAGTTCCTTCAGAAAAAAGATGTTTTGAGAAAAAAGTTCAAAGAAATTTGATAATTCATTCTCAACAATTGTCCCAATTATTTGTAACTCATGCAGTCAGATAAAGTAGCCAAGATGAACTCTCATGGTTAAAACTCAAATGGGAAACTAATTGGAAACCTTTTGCTGAACTGCTGTTTTGTGCAATCCCATCTGCCACCTGGGCCTCTGGTTCAGGCAGCTCAGGAGAGTTGGATTCTGGGAGCCGAGTGAGGCAAGCTGAGTGAGAGGGCCAAGCAGAGCTTGCTAACGCAGTGAGGAGCAAACAAGAGTCAAGGAACGCACCAAACAAAACCCCACTGCTATGGAGTCTATTCTAACTCAGGGTGACCTTCCATCAAGTTTCTAATACTTTAAATATTTACTGGGGGAGACTGTCAATCTTTCTTTCATAAAGTGGCCAGTAGATTTGAATTGCTGACCCTTCAGTTAGCACCCTACACATAATGTACTTTGACACCAGGGCTCTTTAAGAGAGTAAGTAGCAAGAGAGATACCTTATCAAGTGTGACTCTGGTGAGAAGAACTTGCAATCTTGCTCTACCGTTTTGTCTGGTGTGTTGCTGTGGGCTAGCAATCTAAGTTCTCTGAACTTGAATATTTCTCAGGTTTCCAATGAAGAATTATCATACTGTCATAGGGTGTTGGGAGGATCTTGTAAAGGTGAATGAGTATGAACTTATGTACTGATATGCCAGTAAGTGATGGATGGTGGGTACCATTCACACGGGACTGGGCAACATGGCTGAGAGTAAGCAGACAATCAAAAAGACTTAAATGTTGGCCTTTCCAACACGGTGCTTTGCCGCTGTCAGCATGGCATTATCAGCATTTCTAGAGCTAAAAGGCAGTGTGTGTGTGTGTGTGTGTCTCCAGCACCAGTCAGCTGGCCCTCCTGCCCTCTTGGCTTACCTAAGGCCCAGAGGATGGCATTATCAGCATTTCTAGAGCTAAAAGGCAGTGTGTGTGTGTGTGTGTGTGTGTGTGTGTGTGTGTGTGTGTCTCCAGCACCAGTCAGCTGGCCCTCCTGCCCTCTTGGCTTACCTAAGGCCCAGAGGAGACCCTGTCTGTGGCTGGTCTCAGTCTGGTCCTCACAGGTTCCATGACTTAGTAACAAACATCCCCCACACGTGAAGATGCCCGTCTCAGAAGTGGGGGGTGGTCCTCTCCAGCCTGCCTTTGCACAGAAGCTCGTGGGTCTGTCCCACCCGGGCCTTTGCACTGAGCAGGACCTCAAGACTTGCAATCCATTGACCACCCTCCTCCTAGGCCTCAGCGAAGGAAGTCTCAGGGAGCACAGGCGACTTGGTGAAGTTCTGGGAAAAATCTCCCTGCCTCTAGGGGGGCCGGGGCGGGGGATGAGGCTCTGTTGATGAGAAAATTTGGCGATTCCCTAGATCTCTCTAGACGGGTTCAGACTCTCTGGGCGGTGTGGCGGGGATTTGTGCAAACACTTCCTCACTGTACAGAGAGGAATGCAAGCGGAGGCCGCCTGCGGTACATCGTGGACTCTTCCAGAAATGTGCCCGCGCTGGTGAGCGGGCAGCGAGGATGATGAGGACCGGACCGAGCGGGTCAGGGCCGGCCGCACCGAATGGGAGACCCCTGCCTGGAGCTGGGCGGCTGCAGAGGAGCACCCCTGCACCCCGGGGGCCCAGGCCTCTCCCCTCCCACAGGAAGCTCGTTCTCCAGCCCCCACTAAGGCCCTTCCTCGTCCTGGTGCTGCTGGTTTCCATCAAGCAAGTAAGAGCGCTTGATTTATTAATTATTATTATTATCACTATCAGTTGTGCATGTTTTCTGATTGTAAAAGCAATTTGGGCCTTTTGTAGGCAATCTGGGAAATAGCCCTATTAGGAAAATAATGATCCAGAACTCTAGCGTTTGAAGGCAATCACTGTTAATATTTTGGCATGTTTTCCTTAACTTTTAAAGCTATGCACATTTTTACGTAGCTGAAATCCTGAGGCACTGAACATTTTGGCCCAGGTTTCCCTCATATTATGAGCGTTTTCTTGGGCCAACAGGAACTTGGTTAAATATCGCTGAAAACTTCTCTATGGCTCTTCGTTCTGTCAGGTTTGAGCACTCAGGTAAAACGGCTTGTTTTGCTCTGTTCTTATTTTTCCTTTCTTTCTCTTGTTTTTTCACTTTTTTATTTCTTATTGTACAAGTATAACGTGCTCATTGCTTAAAATAAAAACCAAAGGAACCTGTTCTTATCTTTCCTTCCTCTTTTATCTTCAATATTATAAAGGCATAGACTACTTAGTGTTTTTTAAAAAATTATAACATTCAAAGAGACATATGTGACAAATATCTGTAATTCTACCACCGAGAAATTACCCTCTTTTATATTTTAGAATTGATACATCCAGATATTTTTCTACCATTTAGTTATATCAACAATACAAATCAGCATTTTTATTGAGCAGCTAGGCAAAGGGAACTCTGGGGCCTTGGTGGCAAGGATTTGAGCTGTCAGCTTAAAGGTAGTCTGTTTGAATACACCAGGTGTCCCTGGGGCAGAAATATGGGCAGTCTCCTCCTGTGTGATTTATTGCCTCTAAAAACCCAGCTGTAGGTTAATTTTGACTCCATAGTATATAACAACAAAAGCAACAGCATGCAAGATTAGCCCTTCTCATCTCATGTCACACTTGACTATTTTGTGAGGAAGGCTTTCTTGGTTAGTCCCATTTTAAGACCAAGAAACTGGTCTTAGGGAGTTTGAGCTTGTTTTTCTGTCAATAAGTGTAGATCAGTGGGATGCTGTTGAGGGGCTTGTAAGACGTATTATTGTCTTGTATGGACTTACCACTTACAGTTGGGCGTTCTGGAAACTGTCCTAGAGGACTAGGATTTTGGTCCTTTTCTTTTCAGGGTTCCATTTTTCTAGTGGGCCATGATTTGAGGAATTTCTGTTCCACACATCTGAAGGTGGGGTCGTCAAATACTTTTCCTCTGTGGCCTTTTTCTCTTCTAGTGCTTGGGCAGAGTTAGTCCCTGCTTTCAGTAATCCTGTTCTCTTTCCTTCCTCAGAATTCTAATTCCCTTGGAACCTCCACACAGGGAGGGGTGTATTGCCAGACCTCATACAGAGTTTGCTTGATTTGGCTTCCTCCGATGTTAGTAATTTTGAGATGAAGATGAAAATGAAGCTGACACCAGCCCTGGTATTTTCAATTATTATGCCTGTATAGCATAGCAGAAATTAGGAGGATAGCAAGATCAGACAAAGTTTCAATCTGTTGTATACAGGATCTCTATGAGTCAGAATCAATACCTAACAATAACTAGCATATACATGCAAAGGCTGGACAATAAGTAGGGATGACTGAAGAACTGATGCATTTGAATTATGATATTTGTGAATAATGTTGACTGTTCCATAGATTGTCAGAAGAGTGAACAAATCTATCTTGGAGGAAGTACAGCAAGAATGCTGTTTGGAAGTAAGGCTGGTGAAACGTCCTCTCACATCCATCACACATGTTATCAGAAGGGACTGGTCCTTGGAGATAGGCATTATGCTCTGTAAAGTAGAGAGTTGGTGAGAAAGAGGAATATCCTCCATGGGATACATTGACACAATTGCTACAACAATCAAACAGCAGTAATTGTGAGAAGGGAATTGGACTACTAGTCATTATTTTCTTCTTCTGTACACATAGTCCTTATGAAGTGGAACTAATTCAGTAACATCTAGCAATAACAACAACAGCCCAAGAGTAATCATATAGTAGCCTCTGACATGTGGCTACCCTACGAGTGTCAGAGTACCACTGTGTTCCATAGAATTTTCAGTGACTAATGTTTTGGAAGTAAAACACCAGATCTTCTAAGGCATCTTGAGTTGAACTTGAACCTCTGACCTTTCCCTTGGAAGCTGAGTATGTTAAGTGTTTGTACTACTCAGGGACTTCTAAGTAGGCAAACTCTCTACTGAAATCTCCGCTGTCTCAAATTCTCTCTGGGGCTAACTTCGAAAGTACATGCTTGCAAATATGAGGCCAAGCAAGGATCCGTTTTAGGCAAGTCTTCCACAAAGCCTCTCACTGAGTGATCAGGACAGTCCTGAGGGGGAGGCAGCCCTGATCTGGCTCTGACACGGGGTGGGGGCGGGGGTGACCAGTTAGTGGTCAGGCCATTGTTGTAGCAGTTGATGCAGAACTCTCGTTCGTGCTTCAGTTCTCTGAGTATCTCATAAGAAAATCAGTTACAGTCAGATAATTGGTGTTGATCCACAAACATATTCATTATCTACCAGGTGCCAAGTACTGCTATTTGAATATATATAGATACCTATTTAAAGGTTTATTTAAGATATGTGTTTAATAAATATTGGAAAAAAGATATATCTAAGGTATTTATACAAGTATTAGTCGCCTATGAACCTGTTTAATTCATGATGATCCGTTTGTGTCAGAATAGAACTACACACCATAGGTTTTCTTGACTGTGACCTTTGTCAAACAGATCACCTGGCCTTTCTTTAGAAGTAGATTTGAATCTCCAACCTTTTAATTAGTAGGCTAATTGTTTGTATCACCTAAAGTATAAACTGAGCACTTAATGGTTTGTACCACTCAAGGACTATAAAAATAACAACAACCACAACAATAACAACAACAACAAAATCCCCACCGTTCTGCCATTGATTCCAACTTACAGTGACCCTCCATCATTTTCCCCAAACTCAATCTTTGCGAGAGGAGACAGCTACTTTTGTTCCTCAGAGCACCTTGTGGGTTTTAAACTGCTGATATTTCGGCTGGCAGTCCAGCTATGCCACCAGTGTACCTAGTATTTTGTATCTTATTGTTAAATGCTTGCATATATATAATCTTGTTTAAACTTTTCAGTAAACCTCTAGAAAGAAGTATGATTATTGAATTCATTTTACAAATGAGGAAATGAAAATATAGAGGGTTAAGTGATTGCCCACAATTGTGTGGCTTGTAAGAGGTGGAGCCGTTGTGTCTATCCAAGGTGCTTGAAGATCTGTGTTCTTTCTCCCAAGGATTCCATGGAAGCTGTTGACATATGAATATTTATATATTATAAGAGCAGAATCTGCAGTTTCTCAGGTCGGCTTACAGCGTTTGCAAACCCGTAGTGAGTCCCTTTCATCCTGGGGTTTTCATAATAATGTGCCAGTGAACAACATTCCTTCCCGCTATCTGCCAGCCACTGGCTCTCAGAACATCTTCACTCTGTCTGTCCTCCAGCATCGGTCTATAACTCTGATGACCCTCCTCTTGCTTCATCACCTTAAGCCCCGTTTCTTTCTCAGATGTTTATATTATAAGGCTTTGCTAGACTTTCATGATGAATTTTGCTTATAGATGCTTTCTCTGCATGGAATATAAATGACTGTGGTGTGCTTCCTGGCAGGAAGTCTTCATAAAATTCACTTAATGAGAAATTCTCAGGCACAGTTTAGTTTCAGAGTTCAAATAGTGCTATCCTTACTCTCCTCCCCTCATTAAACTTAATTAGCAGTTGCTTTGACATCATAAAAACGTAAACCTTCCAAAGCTCTTTGAGAAATGGTTTTGTGGTCCTTTCAAACATTGTTGTTGATAGTGTAAAATGGTGAGTATTTTTTAAATAATAATTAAAAATCTGGCAAGGATAAGCAGTTTGGCAGTTCCTTGTCAAAAGCCCTTAAAAATGTGTATACACGTTGGCCTATAAATTCCATTTCAAAGAAATTCTCTTGAGAAAAGAAAGTGGTGCTAAAAAATTTAGCAATGACTTTCTCAGCAACATCATTTGTTTTTAGCAAATGTCTTAAAACAATGTATATGTTCAATGCTGGAGGAATTAAAAAATGAATTTATACCATTTATGGAATGAATACACATTGTTGTTATTGTTGATTGCCGTCGAGTCAAGCACTACTCATAGTGACCCTATGAAGAAAAGGCCTGAAGCCTTTCTAGAACTACTGTCATTTATGAAAGTTCATAGAGTTTCCAGAGGTATTTTGTTTAGGAAGTGGGTGCCACTCTTGCTTCCAAATGAATATACACAGGAATTTAAAAAATTAATTACAACCATTTATAGAATATACATAGAAAATACATAAATATATATTTATATGAAAAATACATTTTCTAGTGGAAAAAAGTATGATTCTTGCTTTGATTAAAAAAAAAAGGAAGAAGGAAAAGTATTCATACAGAGAGAAGATTCTGAATGGAGATTGCGATTCCTAGGCCAAGATTAATATTATGCTTACATCTTTGTGCTTAGCAGTAACTCCTATTTTAACTATATTAAAGTATATTTTTTTCTTGAAAAAAAGAATATATAGGAGATTTACTTAAAAGCAGACAATAAAAAATTTTTTATCCCCTTGTCTTTAGTCCTTGCTTTATATAAAGAGAGAGATGGGGAGAGATATTCATTTTAAGGAAGTGGCTCACACAATTCTCACACACTTGTGGAGACTGGCAAGTCCTAGGTCTGTGAGTCAGACTTCAGGAGAGATACATCTGGGGAGCCTAATGAGTCCCAGATCATCAGGCAGAGTCACAGGCTGCTGGCTTCAGAGGTGGACAAGTCCATGATTGGCAAAGACAGGAGGCTGCTAATTCAAGTCTGGAGGTGATGAGCCAGATACAGGATCAGGCAAAGAATCCAGAGAGAGTACCAGAAATATATCCAGAAATATATTCAATGAGGAACACACCTCTGTGAGATTTCCCTTCCATCAGATCTGACTAAATATATGC